GAGGAATTATGCCTTTGCGGAAGACTTTTAAGGAAAATTTGTTCCTATTCATATTACACATTGAGTAAAACTACAAAAACTCGTATACCATTAGCTCGTGGGCCCACCAGCGGCAGAGCGGTAAAGTCCGCTGAACACTGGTAGTTCGGTCAGAGGTTCGAATCCCGCGAACGGGCTGGCTGCATGGGTGTTTTCGTGGTTTTCCCCATGTGTAACGTGTATACGAGCCAGTTTTCCTTAGAAAGTCCTCCACGAAGGCATCCTTCCCCTTAGGCAGATAGCCCTAGTGAGCTTTGCCATAATTAAATACACCACACCACACCACCATTAGCTCGTTTGTCTGGATTTGACCCGCAGTCAAACTACGAATGCTCAGCGCTCTTATCGTTCTTTCACTAGTAAGTTTCTGTCGGTAAAATTCAATAGTCAGCAGATGAATGCAGATTATAGTACACATTAATACGTGTATACAATTGATAGTATCGATTAATTAATTGTCGTAGTCATCACATTACTATCAACGCTTTGTCTGCTAAATCAAGCATAAATCGCTTTAAATCTTGCGAAACTTTTATTTTCCGGTAACAGGAGCAAAGACCAGTCCCACAATCATACACGGATATCTCTGTGAAACCGCGAGAACAGACAATGAGTGAATCTGAAAAAACTAGTATTTATAATCGAAGGAATAAAAGCTTTTTAACAGACATACGCTTACAACTTCATTTATACGTTTAAAACTTTTCACATATACGTTTAAAACTCAATTAGTAAAACTTTCATTTCCTTTTCATCCAGGAACTATATTCTTTAAAAGAAAAACTCAATAAAAGGGTATTTCATAAATTTCGGTACTTGACTTTCGGTACACGATTGTTAGTCTTGTTTTAAAATTTTAAAATTCACACACCTTAGCGGAGAAAATTTATATTGGGATATATATTTTTTATATTCGTGTTTTACTGTAGATAAATAAATGGAAAGCTTGAGAGCTTACGTCCTACATTAGTTTAAGACTTGTTACCTATGGCAACAATATTTGAACTCCTTAGGAAATTACATTTTAGCAATTTTTGCGTTATATAATCCATTTATTAATTTATCTGAAGGAAATCGTGGAAAATTAAACAATTAAAAAAAATTTTAAATTTAAAAATCAGAAATACAAATATATTTTGTCTAGAGTATAGGACCTTTAGTTTTTCTCTAAATGCGTGTAACAAATTTCAGAGTATAAAATAAGTAATCTTTTTTCATTAATGGGTTGATTAACCTAACATTAGTTAGTTCTCTTTAATATGTGGTCTTAACATTTACAATCTCAAAAGTAAAACGTTCTCTATTTTGTCGAGGGAACTTTTGTTATAGTACTAGTACAACAATTTAATAATGCAGTTCTATTTTTGTGCAGGTATTTTATTACGTTAATATTATATACAGCGTAATTTTTCTGGAAATAATTAGTAATTTTGAAAATACTGCGCATTTGCTATTTTCAGAGGAACATTTGAAGACAAAATGAAACTTCAGATCTCATGTTAAAGTTTGCGTTATCTTAAGTTTATGGCATGCTAAGTTCTCTTACATATCTCATCAGTCTAAAGAGGTTTGGCAGTGTCTTAGATGACATATAAAGATCCGATAGAACCCAAAACATATAAAAACGATTTCATGGATGTAACGATTACCTAGAATAGACAACAGTACTCACAGTGATATACCAATGAAAAAAAAACGAGGCCTATTTTATCTTATGTAAAAGATAAAATTATGCTTCATTGCTCAAGAATACTTTCAGTTTCGAGTAAAAGCCAGACAGATGAGTAAAGGCATTTATAAAAGCTTATTTGCGAGCCATGGTATTATGAAACATTCTCTGAAACTTAGGTTTCTCCTTCTACATAATTTGACATCATTAAGAAATCTGAATGATACTGAAGATAATAATCCTTATTTCGCAGGAATTATCGACAATTTAACATGATTTGCGCAACCCAATTATTTACCAATAATGGTAAATACTTTAAGATAACACAGGATAAGACACCACAGAAAATTAGCAAGTTTTGGATGCGAAGAATTGCAGAAATTTTGAAAACAAAACAGCTATTGTGTAAGCAAATGATTCAAAATTTACTACTTTTAAATCATTATATGTAATACCAAATAATTGTTACGGAGCGTAATAATAATTTATTTATCATTTTATAAACATTATTTAACGTATTTGAAAAATTTTGAGTTGGATTACAAATTTTTGAAAAATAAACAAAAGAAGGTCAGAAATAAATGTTTCTGTCTCTCAGATTAGCACTTGTAAATAATGTACACACTACTTTGGTTTTATTTTGAGAAACGTTATATGAATTGCACGTATTCGTTTCTGTTCGAAAAATACATATTTTAAGGTTATACTAACGCTTCATGTATGCAATCTATAATGGGGTGAAGTACACCCCAAATAAGAACGTACACTCAAATTCCATGCTTTAACATATACTCAAATGACAAAAAGTCATGGGAGAGTAGTAGGCAAATTTTCATGTGGCGTTTGCATGACATAAAAGCTTATATAAATACCAAGAGCGTTTATCATTTGCCATTAGTGATCTTGCGAGTTTTATGAAATATCATGCAATGTGATTACGGAAAGTTAACTCGAATAATCAAATTCTGAAAGTTGAATATTACCTAGAACTCGACGAATGTGGCATTCAGTTTCTGCAAAGGTTCGGAGATTCAACGTTGCTCAATACGCAGTGTTAAGAGTGTACCGAGAACACCACATGGAATTCATTTTGAAAGGCGCAGTGACGGACCCTAGTTGTTTAATGAACTTGATCGGAGATCTCCAATCAGAGCTATCTGTGCGATTAGCGAGAACGCAGTAACGAGTTTGAGTGAAAAACATCTACATTTAATGTAGGAGGTACCAGAGGTGTATCTCTGAGGTCAGTCTAACAAAATTTAGCATCAGTGGAACATGACAGCAGGAGACCCACCAGAATGCTTTTGCTAACAGCAAATCGTTGAGTCTAACGCGTCACATGGGCTTGTTAATACATTATCTTGGTCTGATGGAGATTGGAAGAGAAGTGCAAAAAATGTAGCCTGGTCTAAGTCACAAATACCAGTTATTACGAACTAACGGTAAGCCTCAGATGTGACGAATACTCTCTGAGGCCATATACCGAAGAAGGCGCTTTGAAAAGTGGCAGTGTTTCCATAACAGTGTAGATTTTCATGACATGGTTTGGATTTATTTGGCTCTGCTAAACATTTCACTAAATACGAATAGTTACCTTAAACGACTTGATAAGCGTTCACAACCATTCGTGGACTTCATGTACCCTAAGAATAATGAATCTCCCAAGACAACAGAGCGCGACGTCATTATGCAAGAATTGCTCAAGACTAGTTTTAGAAACACTATGGGAAAACCGATGAACAATTTGACCGCATTTGCTAGATGTCACATAAGTGGAATATTATCGAAAGGTCCATCGTATACAAGACTCAGCAATTATAACAACTAGGCAGTTATGAGCGTTTATCCAAAACGGCTTGGCTCAACGCCTCTTCTGGGGATTTCCGCTGACTTATAGTCTACGCCCCTACCGCAACGGGGCCTTACGTTATACAAAATAAGCATCCCTTGACTTCTGATATATGACTGGGATGAAGTACAGCAACACAAGCGGATCTATTACTATCTTCTTATATCGTCGCATACATAAATACATGCATAAGCGCTTCGAACTAATGTAACTAAACGGAAGACATGAAAATGGTCGGTGCAGGATCTTGTGCGTGCTGTCAGGTTATAGGACATAGTTCAGATGTGTGCTCCTCATAACTGCAAACAAGACCGCAGGAAGGGTCGTGCGTATTCTGCGGTCAGACAGTATTTGACCCATCTTTAGTTATTTCGTTACTCACAAGCATTTGCCTCCACGATCGTCAACATTCGGAAGCAGATCCAATTGCTAGACTGGGATAGGGTCTCTCACCCAGGCGCCCCAAAACATGAACTTCGTTAACAAGTTCCAAGCACTTGGAAAAGAATGATTTTTATTTGTATCATCTCGTGATACGGTACATTATAATATAGAGCCCAGACACTGCATTTTTTCATTGTTCTGCAGTTTTTTGAGAATTCAGCTAAAATGTCATCATTCATTACTTTTATACTATGTGAGAAAGAAAGAGTATTTTGCAGTGTTCAGTTACGTTTGCATTGTTATTTAATAGCACAGAATATAATGCAGTGCGGAGTAAGCTATTTAATACTAGTAATGTGGAATTTATAAATTGAACTAAACCGTACTTATACATGTTACGCGTGATTATCAGGTTAAATAAAGTAACAGCTATTCTTAGCGATAAGTCTTAAAATTGATTACCATAGAATACGGGACATCGCTATATGTTCACTCGCTAATATTAAATTTCCGATTAAGTTTCTGTTCAACGGCGAGTTAATTCATACGATTTCATGGGCCGCCCAACCGAAATAATGGTTAGCGATGCTAACTGACGTACCGAAGGGACAAAGTTCGAAATCCGGAGAAGGCATGGATGTTTGTAAATGTGTCATGGGTTTGTAAATGTGTCATGTGCTGTGCATCATGGGGACATTCTAAGTATGCGGCGAGCCGAACATTCTGTCGAGAGGTTTGTGGTAGGGAAAGAAGGATGAGAGACCCTCGGATCCGTCCCCCTGGAGTGTTATTTATCAAAATTGGGGGGTGGAAATACACAATAAATGTCTTGGGTTCGTTCTGATGTTACTGTCAGATAAGTCACAACAACAATAGATTGATTTCATGGGATGGTTTATGTACAACATTATTAATATACTGGAAAAATAAAACAGGATAGTAAACAAAGTTCTACTAATCGAAAGAAAGAAGTTTGCGGTTGAAATCTTTAACACTCTCATGAAATATTTAGTACACAGTTTTAAAAATAGAAGATTTTAAAAAGAAAGCACATTTTACCTTTGCTTTGTCCTGTAGCGTCTCTCAAGACTGTGCACTCTTCAATACTACCAAATGAAGAAAACATAATGCGAACGTCATTTTCCGTACATTTCTTGGATAACATTCCAATAAAAAGCTTCCTTTCTAAAACAAACAAAAAAAACAAAAAATATATGATTTAGTTTCAATAAAGGACATTTTTAAAGAACAGAGAGTATTCACTGTGAAAAAGAAAAAAGTTGAACACTTTTCTAAAGCAAACATCAAAACAGACCTATTTTTCTTTTACAGGAAAAGTCAGAATGTTTATTGAGAAGATTACTGAATGTCTAAACATTTGCCGGTATTCACATCAATAAATTTCAAGTGAGATTTCTATCTAACTAAAAAATCTTACATTTGATGTTCCTGCGGTAAAAATGAGGTTAAGACAATGTTTGAAAGTAAATTTTGAAGATATTATTCTCAAACGTTTTGCATCATTTTATTTATATTCAGCATAGTTAAGGAGAAAGATTTAAATAATGAAAAGCTAATGATTAAGATTTTTAACCTTGAAAAGAAACATTTGATTTCCTTTTAAAAATACCTTTAATTTGAAAATTTTAATAAGAATAGCTAATAAAAAACATCCGCATATTAAAAGACAAAAGTATTATTGTTTCCTTAGCGTTAAATTAGAGATATACAAAAAAAGAGATATATTCATAACTGAAAAATTATATATTTTTCCCAAAAAACTAATTTATATACTAACAATTTCTTCACTACGATACTGATGTTTTCATTTTTTTTTTTTAAATTTTACTGCAGGACTTATAAATAGTCAGACTATAAAAGTGAATATTTATTATTTAATTTATATCAAAACATTTTTTTGACTCCATTAACAGTTTTGAAGAGTTTTAAATAATACATATTATTAGAAGTAGTTGTGTGAAAGATATAAAGACAGGTAAACACCAGAAGCTCATGTTTTTATAGTTAACACTACTAACTCGGAAGGAATGACGTAAATAGCTAATAGAAAAGGGAAAAGCTACTGCGATGTAATAACGAATTGCCGAGGAAAGCTTTAGAAACATTTTCCATGTATGAATGCACTGTTTGAATCACATTATTCTTCTAAAGAAGAACTCTTAATTAACTTTAACATTTTTCATTTTCTCTATTTACTTATATGGGTAACATTTTTAAAAATGTAAATTCGTTTAAACTTTAGAAAACAATAAAAACTCTGCGTGTAATAATTTCGTACATTAATCTTCAGAATAATTTCCGACGTAATGAAACAATAACAATGAACTGGGGAAAATTCTTTAAATTATTCAGAATGGCATTACCCTTTCATGGTTTTTCTTTATAGGGGCGGGGGTTAGCGTTCACTGCTATAGATAAATTCTTCTTACAGAGCATAAGTTAGGCTCATAGCATTGGCTTTCATTTTTCGAAAATATATTTTAGATTTAGTTCACTCAGTAAATGAGCCATTGCATTTTAGCAAGCATCCATTAGAAAGCTTACATATACAACACAATTTATATTTCAAAACTTTTGTGTACAAATTTGTCATGGAAACATCCTGCTATTAGCATGTGCTTCTATAAAATTTCTCTGCCGTATGCTAAACATTTTCACAGTCTAAAACTCTCCGATTCGAAGATTTAATTTGTTACATAATTAGGTAAATATTGTACCCGTTTAGAGGCAGCAAATCGTTGCGGCAAACAAAATACAGTGTTCTGTTATTTTGGATTTCTGAGAAGATTTTCAGTGTTCGCTCTTAAGCACAATGTAATTAGTAAATAAACAGAATGGTTTAATCTATTTTTTTTTTTTATTTCACAAACTTAAGAAAACACCGAAATAAATATCAGAAAAAAAATTATTAGATGTTACCATTTTGAAATCAAATTTTCAGCGTTAATTTCATAGATTTTAAAACAGACATGAATAAAAAGATTAAGTAAATCTGTGAATTTCTTGATACAAATGGAAATTATCTATAAGTTGTCATTACAAACAAATTTCAGATAAAATTACCTTGCACGTTTTCTTTGTATCGATTACATTCAATTATTTCAGTGAAATTATAAGGTTATGTCTCCTGCCTTCTTGGCGTGCCTTCGTGGTGTAGTGGTTTGCAGACTGGGCCGGTATTCCAGAGGTCTGCGATTCGATTCCCGGCGAAGGCGTTGTTAATTTTCATCTCTTTAGCCTCCCCCCCAAAAAAATCCTAATGTCCTTACAAACTAGCATACAAAAGATGTAACAATTTATTACAAATATTATGAAATGTTGAAACATTTGATTTTGCTTTGAAATAAAATAAATTTCAAAGATAGTCGGCATGAAATATAATACTAGATGATATAAATTTTGTTTTGAGATGCAATAAAGCACGCTGATGGCATAAATGGCTGTAAAACCTCAAGGACAATTTTAAGTCAATCGTCATGAAAACCTATTTATTATATTTTTAACTAGTAAATTTAAAATCTATGACTCTGTTTATACCAAGATTATTAACTATTTACGGTATCTTGTTCCAAAAGAGACAAAGATTTTATTAAAATAGAGGAAAATACATGTTGTAAGCTTACTTATTCTAAGCATGTTATTATTACAACACAATACCTAGAAACATGTTACATACTATCATGCATATAACTGTTAAGGTAAGCACGTGACCTCTCGCAATCCATCATTATCTAGCAACCTACTATAGAATATGATGTTTGGTAATACATAGGCGATTCTACAACGCAATGATTATTGTCGATACATAAGCTCGTCTTTCGTTATTGTTAAACGCGTATTGTGAACTTATAAGTTTATTAAATGATTTCTTCTGCATTTCCTAGCGCATTTCTTGCATTGAGAATAAAGAATGATGCGTATTTCATTGACTTTGAACCGAAGCGTAACTACTTGTGAAGAATGTAGAAGATACTCAGAGATCACAGTCTCTAAACAACATAAACTAATATTTTTCAGCAGAAAAGTTTCTCTTTTTATAGTTTCAGAAGTCAGTGTAAGCCAATAAATTTACAAATTTAGCTATTTGAATAAAGATCAGATTCGGTAGCTAGCAATAAGTGATGGTGAAATATGAAGAAATGATTTTAAAAATTATTTATCAAATACATTGATGATCAGGAAACAATTCCATTTAGTGATTGCCTAATAACTGAGCTGTTATACATACGTATCATAATAATTATTCATGTTAAACTAGAATATTGATAGTGAAAGTGAAATCGTGAGACTGAAAAATTTTCACTACGCAGCCTTTTCCTGTTTATCGGGATAGGAATCTGGATCTAACTACCAGTGTTCTGCAATCTTACGTACTGAGCTACTGATAAGGCTCTTACACCGCTCTGAAAGCATGACATAGAGTGAGTAAGCCTCTCTGCATCTTAACTTTTCAAGATTCAGAATAAGATGGACAGCTAAAACGTGTAGTGTAAGCTAAAATAAGTATTAAATCAAACAACTTTTCGATTAAAGCTAACTTTAATTTGGCTTGTGAACCTAATACATAGCGTGCTATATAAAAAATTAATCAAATTCCCTTGATTCTAACTTTTCAATTACAAAGGAACAATAATAAATGAAAGCAGAGGTTCTTTTCTGGTATCCAATAAATTGGCTGGGGCTGCAGAGTTCTGCCGAAACCTTTGCAACGGCTAATTTTGCCTTAAGAAACCCTTGTGTAAGAGAAAGAAAAAAACGTAGGTTGGAGAGCTCAATTAATATGTCATATGGTATTTACACTTTTTTAAACACTGATAGTGCTACTCATGATGAGATTAAAACAAGCATATTGAGGAACGGGGAGGGTAGAAAACAGGGAAAGGAAAAAAAATGATGGGGGAAAAAATTTACAAAAACGTTTTTCTGTAACAGAAGGATGCGAAAATTGTCGAGTTCTGAGTTTTCTGAAGGAAATACGAGGAAATAAAAGAATGGTGAATGAAGCGAAGTGCGGTAATATCCGCTTTTGATTCTTTTTGTTTAGCTAAGTAAATGAATAGATGCGCTAGTTGCGCTTTAGGTACCATGTCTATCATATTTTTTTAATGATCGGAGATCATGTAAACGGAGGAAAAGAAGGGAGTCTCCTAAGTGCATAATTTTTGCTCTTAAAGTAATACAGTATATTTATTTCCGTATTATAAAAGAGAATAATTAAAGGAATCAGTGTTTAGGCATGAATGAATTAGGTTTTTTATATAATAAGAGCTTTAAGGCAGAACAAAACAAAATTTTTTGCCAGCGAAATTCTGGGTGAGTACGACAGGTCAAGTTGCCTTTAATCAATAAAATTTAAAATATTGTCATAATTTAATGTATTTAGATTGAATCTTTTATCTTGCAACAAACTGTAACCGATCATCCAAGATTTGCTCGAATTTACCGGACCTTTATAACATTCAGAGAGCTTTTCTAGTAATTTGTATGTAACTACATTATACGCTTGAAAAAAAAATCCCTGTCACATATACCTTATTTTTCACTTGTTTGTTTGGCGTTTAACCGACTAAGGCAAACTATGCGAGAGCTGCATGTGTTATAGAAAGTATTTCTGCACAGATGACCTTTATAAAGGAGACATGATTTTCATTCCCACTCAGTTTTCAGTATCCTTATAATAACTAAAAAACTGTGCTCATTAAATGTGACAACGCCATATGATATGATATGCCACAGTAAAAGTAACTAATCAAGAAAATTAGTCTTTTCTGTTTATTTTTCTATTTCTATTAACCTAAAAGTGATTATCACTTGACGACATACTCTGAAGGCGTTCATGATAATTTGCAGAAAATCATTGAACATAAAAAAACGGCGTATTTAGAATTTTACACATAAAATAATTTTAGATACATATATAACTTTACATATAACCGTCTGGTTGCGGCGACGCTGCAAGCAACCCATTCTCATTGCGCATTTCGGCAGCCAACCAGTGCTGCCATCGAGAAAGTCGCATTTCTGCTTCTAAGCCATGAGCGCTCTTTAGGGTCGGAGGCTCATTTTTTTTATTCTTATCTATCAGAGCTTGGCTCGACCCCCAGATCAGTACAAGCCGCAGCACCAGCAGCAGCAGTTTTGGATTTACGTTCCCTGCCA